CTGTGCTCTAACCAACTGATTTAACTGGCCAGCCCTAGAGCACATCCTAAAGGCCTCCATTTAACTCAATCACCTCTTTATTTTTATTTTATTCTTGGCAGCTGGCCAAGATGGGGATCCACACCCTTGACCTTGGTGTTATAACACTGTACTCTAACCAACTGTGCTAACCATTCAGCCCTTCATCTCCAAGCACAGTCACATTCTGAGCTACTGGGGGTTAGGATCAACAAATGAATTTGGGGGGTACACAATTCAGCACATAACAACCATCTATCTTAATGTAATTTCAAAACACTGTAACCACATGCATACTTCTTGGGAAATGATTATTCTATTTTAGGACATTTTAAACATACTTTTAAATAGGGTACATACTGAAATTAGTTGAATTACATTAATAATATTTTTCTATGCATAACTATACCTGAAAAGGTAGTTAACAAAATGAAAAACTGTTTTGTTTCATTTAGTCTTCACAAGTATTTATTGAGTATTTAATTTATTAAGCAATTTCTGTGAAATACACTGTAGAGATTTCCTTTAAAATAAGCATATAAAAATCCAAAACATTATTAAAGTTTTCATTATTATACAATCTATAACTAAAAATTTAAAAACAGACTAGCTTCATTTTACATGAGAATAAGCTTTGAAAAGAGCTGATTTTATTGCTTGACCCTGATTGGTTGCTCATAATACTCTTCTTGAAAGACAGCAAATGAGATATAAGGCTCAGAGGGCAAAACCCCTGAAATATAAAAAACAGAATGTGTTAGAATTCCACTTAATGAAGCTTATGTTTAATAAGCTAGCTGTTTTAATTACATTTTCAAGTCTTATGATATAGAAATTCTACTTTTTTCCAAAACGAACAAACATACATATCCTTGATACGATAGTGAAGAAAACAAACATAAGACTTTAACTGTTGAGCTTTTTACTTTTTGAGCACAGCAGTAAACATTTTCTTTTCTTCCCTTCACAGTTTGGCATTCATCTGATTCATTAGCTTCTCCAGTTTGATTGCTAGGGCCATGTTTCCTTTAATCGTCAATCTTCCTGACATGAATGCCATTGTTGGTTTTAGTTTCCCTAAAATGACAAATTCAGAGAGAGAAAAGCAACCATTAGTGCCCTTAGGTATATACTGCTTCAAGAACATGCATTACCAAAAGAATCTCCTGAGTTTTATATATCTCGAAAGCACAAGATATTTCTGTTACAGCATTTTATATATCAGTATCTTGGGAATCCCAACTCCTAGACTTAGATGTTAACAACATCTTAAAGAGATAACATAAAACAGCAATCAGCAAAAGATTATAGCAAAAAGCTGAAGATGGCAGTATTTATATACTCATTACAGTACACTAAGGATACATGGTGCTGAAGTGAATTCTGGCAAACAAATACTATCTATTTCAATCTACTTAATTTTCCAATCTATTATAGTTCATTAAACTTTTAACATTTCAAGTTTAAATTAAAAAACTCAATTGGTGAAAATACATAAAATATTCTTAAGAAATGGTTATTAAATGTATACTGTATGAACACAAAATTATATACAAGCACTGTGTTAAACACAGAAAAGCCAGGGTATAAAAAATGTGAGCATAAAAATAGAATTGTAGCTAAGACCAACATATAATAAATATTAGCTCCATGGAGAGGAAACTTTGTTTTTATCTGCTATTCTTAGTCCAGTGTCAGTACTGGGTCTGGCACACAGTGGAATTAATGAGGAAACTGAGGCTCAGAGAGGACTGTGACTTGCCCAAGCTCACACAGCTTGTATGTGGCCGTACTACTGAGATGGGAGTTGCTCAGTGTTCCTGGGTTCCGGTTTCAGACGGCTCCCCTGGGTCTCAAACCACTCCCCAAGGATTCAAGCCCCTCCTTGAGTCCTGAGCTACTGTTGCTTGTTGCACCTTCCTTTGGTACCAACATATGGAGATTGAGACCACAAGAGGCAGACTTACGTAACTCCAGTGGCTGAGCATGCTCGGTAGAAAGGAGTTTATCCTATGAATGACCTTCCACTAGATAGCACCTAGCATATTTTAAGTGTTTTCAGTGGAATTTAACCAATGAGTATGCTCCAAAGAGACCAACTAAACTTGTGCAAGGCTATGTTACATAACTGGGAACCAACCCCTTAGCTGAATATTCATTAGGTGGCAAATATATGTATAGTAGCCAAACTATAAAAGTGGAATCCAGGATGAAGGTGGGGCTGTTGCTCATTCTCTCTGGAGCCAGCCTGCACTTTGCCTGTGAGGTGTGTATTTCTTACTTTTTGTGTTAAATCTGCCTTTAGTAGGCTGATGTTCAGTCTTTTGAGCCAGCCTGCACTGTTTGCAAAATGTGTATTTCTTACTTTTGTATTAAACTTGCTGTGGCTGCTGCTCACTCTCAGGAGCCAACCTGCACTTTCCCTGTGAAGTGTGTATTTCTTACTCTGTACATTGAACCTCTTTTTGCTTTCTACTCTGACTCTGCTCTTGAATTCTCTCCTGAGGTGGAGTCAAGACCTGTAGGACAGGGTGGGTTGAGGTCAGCTATCAGACCTCCCCAGACCCTCTCCTCTAGTAGCCCTATAATTCAAGGCCAGGTGTGTGTGACTCTCATTTATGATTTTCTGCCTTACATTATGCTAACTTATATATAGATCATATCTCCTAGAAGGGACAATATGTGTCTGGTACATTTGCAATCCACACCCCCATGCCACACACAAGTTCTCTGTAGAAAAAGTGTGTGGGTCGATGTATTATATACATGTTGAAATATTAAATACCTTTAAATTATTCTAAATAGGGGTAAAGCCTCATAGATTGGTTAGATAGAAAGAATCAAATTCAACTCCTTTATTGTAATGAATAAACTGAGATATGTACTACTTCAAGAAAACATGATGTTAAAACACCTAAATTTACAAATAATAGATTAAGGGGTAACCTTGATTTATGGAAGATACTAAAAGATCTTTATTCTTTGAAGAAACAGAAAAGCCCCTCCCCAAACTTACAAACACTGACATCTGGGTGTCCTTCAGCTAAATAACTGGCTCCCTGCTCTGCCACTCTACAGTGAAGCCTACCAGTCCACAAGCCCCACTCGCCACATATACAGCTTCCCATAAGCTTTACAGAGTCTTGTCCACAGAGATGAATAGGCATCAAATAAGACCAAAACCAAAACAAAACAGAAACACAGATAAAAGCAACTTGGAGGAAAGAGAGAGAATGCAGGTACAGAAAAAAGAAACTAAAATAAAGTGAATGAAGAACAGATTAAAAATTCCATAATCCCTGTCTTCAGAGATAAGAAAAGATAATACAACAATGTATTAAAATAGGATGTGAGCGAAGAAAGAGGGAAGAGGAGGAGGACAGGGAGGAGGAGGTAAAGAAGGGGGGAGGGGGAGGGGGCAGTAACAGGAGGGAAAGACGGGAACAGGGTAGAGGGAGGAGGCAACAGTAAGAGAAGAAAAACAACCTGAAAACAAGAGTGAGCTCTTGGAAATTAAAAATTTGATAGACAATATTAAAATGTAGGAAGATAGTGATTCAACTGCCTAGAAAGTAAACAAAGTTATACAGAGACGTACAATAGGAGAAAGGATGATTAAATCAGAAAAATCTAACTTTTTCTCTATAAAGTGTGAAAGGAGAAAACAGAGTTAGAACTATCAAATAAATAAGAAAATTTCTGAGGGGCCTACCAGGTACCAAGGAATATGAAAGAAAAAAATACCACCTTGTATTGCTATAAAATTTCAGAACACCACAGATAAAGAGATGATCCTATTGATTCCAAAAGCTTTCAGAAAGGGCAAAGATCAACGTGAAAGATTAAGAAGAATAGATCAAGGGGGCCGGCCCGTGGCTCACGTGGGAGAGTGTGGTGTTGATAACACCAAGGCCACAGGTTTGGATCCCTATATAGGGATGGCCGGTTAGCCCACTTGGGAGAGTGTGGTGCTGACAACACCAAGTCAAGGGTTAAGATCCCCTAACCGGTTATCTTTAAAAAAGAAAAAGAAAAAAAAAAAAAAGATCAAAATCTTAATAGTATTCTTAGAAGATGGGGCGATGGCTTCAAAATTATGAGGGAAAGTGAACTGCAACCCAGAAATCTCTACCCGGACCAATATTGAGAGTGTTGGCAGAATAAAAGTAGTTTCNCGGGAGCGCCGCCGCGCTTCCCAAGCGGCGCACAAGCGCAGTGCGCCACCGGGCCGGCCCAACAACCATCTATCTTAATGTAATTTCAAAACACTGTAACCACATGCATACTTCTTGGGAAATGATTATTTTATTTTAGGACATTTTAAACATACTTTCAAATAGGGTACATACTGAAATTAGTTGAATTACATTAATAATATTTTTCTATGCATAACTATACCTGAAAAGGTAGTTAACAAAATGAAAAACTGTTTTGTTTCATTTAGTCTTCACAAGTATTTAAGTATTTATTATGCGATTTCTGTGAAATACACTGTAGAGATTTCCTTTAAAATAAGCATATAAAAATCCAAAACATTATTAAAGTTTTCATTATTATACAATCTATAACTAAAAATTTAAAAACAGACTAGCTTCATTTTACATGAGAATAAGCTTTGAAAAGAGCTGATTTTATTGCTTGACCCTGATTGGTTGCTCATAATACTCTTCTTGAAAGACAGCAAGTGAGATATAAGGCTCAGAGGGCAAAACCCCTGAACTATAAAAAACAGAATGTGTTAGAATTCCACTTAATGAAGCTTATGTTTAATAAGCTAGCTGTTTTAATTACATTTTCAAGTCTTATGATATAGAAATTCTACTTTTTTCCAAAACGAACAAACATACATATCCTTGATACGATAGTGAAGAAAACAAACATAAGACTTTAACTGTTGAGCAGTCTTATGATATAGAAATTCTACTTTTTTCCAAAACGAACAAACATACATATCCTTGATACAATAGTGAAGAAAACAAACATAAGACTTTAACTGTTGAGCTTTTTACTTTTTGAGCACAGCAGTAAACATTTTCTTTTCTTCCCTTCACAGTTTGGCATTCATCTGATTCATTAGCTTCTCCAGTTTGATTGCTAGGGCCATGTTTCCTTTAATCGTCAATCTTCCTGACATGAATGCCATTGTTGGTTTTAGTTTCCCTAAAATGACAAATTCAGAGAGAGAAAAGCAACCATTAGTGCCCTTAGGTATATACTGCTTCAAGAACATGCATTACCAAAAGAATCTCCTGAGTTTTATATATCTCGAAAGCACAAGATATTTCTGTTACAGCATTTTATATATCAGTATCTTGGGAATCCCAACTCCTAGACTTAGATGTTAACAACATCTTAAAGAGATAACATAAAACAGCAATCAGCAAAAGATTATAGCAAAAAGCTGAAGATGGCAGTATTTATATACTCATTACAGTACACTAAGGATACATGGTGCTGAAGTGAATTCTGGCAAACAAATACTATCTATTTCAATCTACTTAATTTTCCAATCTATTATAGTTCATTAAACTTTTAACATTTCAAGTTTAAATTAAAAAACTCAATTGGTGAAAATACATAAAATATTCTTAAGAAATGGTTATTAAATGTATACTGTATGAACACAAAATTATATACAAGCACTGTGTTAAACACAGAAAAGCCAGGGTATAAAAAATGTGAGCATAAAAATAGAATTGTAGCTAAGACCAACATATAATAAATATTAGCTCCATGGAGAGGAAACTTTGTTTTTATCTGCTATTCTTAGTCCAGTGTCAGTACTGGGTCTGGCACACAGTGGAATTAATGAGGAAACTGAGGCTCAGAGAGGACTGTGACTTGCCCAAGCTCACACAGCTTGTATGTGGCCGTACTACTGAGATGGGAGTTGCTCAGTGTTCCTGGGTTCCGGTTTCAGACGGCTCCCCTGGGTCTCAAACCACTCCCCAAGGATTCAAGCCCCTCCTTGAGTCCTGAGCTACTGTTGCTTGTTGCACCTTCCTTTGGTACCAACATATGGAGATTGAGACCACAAGAGGCAGACTTACGTAACTCCAGTGGCTGAGCATGCTCGGTAGAAAGGAGTTTATCCTATGAATGACCTTCCACTAGATAGCACCTAGCATATTTTAAGTGTTTTCAGTGGAATTTAACCAATGAGTATGCTCCAAAGAGACCAACTAAACTTGTGCAAGGCTATGTTACATAACTGGGAACCAACCCCTTAGCTGAATATTCATTAGGTGGCAAATATATGTATAGTAGCCAAACTATAAAAGTGGAATCCAGGATGAAGGTGGGGCTGTTGCTCATTCTCTCTGGAGCCAGCCTGCACTTTGCCTGTGAGGTGTGTATTTCTTACTTTTTGTGTTAAATCTGCCTTTAGTAGGCTGATGTTCAGTCTTTTGAGCCAGCCTGCACTGTTTGCAAAATGTGTATTTCTTACTTTTGTATTAAACTTGCTGTGGCTGCTGCTCACTCTCAGGAGCCAACCTGCACTTTCCCTGTGAAGTGTGTATTTCTTACTCTGTACATTGAACCTCTTTTTGCTTTCTACTCTGACTCTGCTCTTGAATTCTCTCCTGAGGTGGAGTCAAGACCTGTAGGACAGGGTGGGTTGAGGTCAGCTATCAGACCTCCCCAGACCCTCTCCTCTAGTAGCCCTATAATTCAAGGCCAGGTGTGTGTGACTCTCATTTATGATTTTCTGCCTTACATTATGCTAACTTATATATAGATCATATCTCCTAGAAGGGACAATATGTGTCTGGTACATTTGCAATCCACACCCCCATGCCACACACAAGTTCTCTGTAGAAAAAGTGTGTGGGTCGATGTATTATATACATGTTGAAATATTAAATACCTTTAAATTATTCTAAATAGGGGTAAAGCCTCATAGATTGGTTAGATAGAAAGAATCAAATTCAACTCCTTTATTGTAATGAATAAACTGAGATATGTACTACTTCAAGAAAACATGATGTTAAAACACCTAAATTTACAAATAATAGATTAAGGGGTAACCTTGATTTATGGAAGATACTAAAAGATCTTTATTCTTTGAAGAAACAGAAAAGCCCCTCCCCAAACTTACAAACACTGACATCTGGGTGTCCTTCAGCTAAATAACTGGCTCCCTGCTCTGCCACTCTACAGTGAAGCCTACCAGTCCACAAGCCCCACTCGCCACATATACAGCTTCCCATAAGCTTTACAGAGTCTTGTCCACAGAGATGAATAGGCATCAAATAAGACCAAAACCAAAACAAAACAGAAACACAGATAAAAGCAACTTGGAGGAAAGAGAGAGAATGCAGGTACAGAAAAAAGAAACTAAAATAAAGTGAATGAAGAACAGATTAAAAATTCCATAATCCCTGTCTTCAGAGATAAGAAAAGATAATACAACAATGTATTAAAATAGGATGTGAGCGAAGAAAGAGGGAAGAGGAGGAGGACAGGGAGGAGGAGGTAAAGAAGGGGGGAGGGGGAGGGGGCAGTAACAGGAGGGAAAGACGGGAACAGGGTAGAGGGAGGAGGCAACAGTAAGAGAAGAAAAACAACCTGAAAACAAGAGTGAGCTCTTGGAAATTAAAAATTTGATAGACAATATTAAAATGTAGGAAGATAGTGATTCAACTGCCTAGAAAGTAAACAAAGTTATACAGAGACGTACAATAGGAGAAAGGATGATTAAATCAGAAAAATCTAACTTTTTCTCTATAAAGTGTGAAAGGAGAAAACAGAGTTAGAACTATCAAATAAATAAGAAAATTTCTGAGGGGCCTACCAGGTACCAAGGAATATGAAAGAAAAAAATACCACCTTGTATTGCTATAAAATTTCAGAACACCACAGATAAAGAGATGATCCTATTGATTCCAAAAGCTTTCAGAAAGGGCAAAGATCAACGTGAAAGATTAAGAAGAATAGATCAAGGGGGCCGGCCCGTGGCTCACGTGGGAGAGTGTGGTGTTGATAACACCAAGGCCACAGGTTTGGATCCCTATATAGGGATGGCCGGTTAGCCCACTTGGGAGAGTGTGGTGCTGACAACACCAAGTCAAGGGTTAAGATCCCCTAACCGGTTATCTTTAAAAAAGAAAAAGAAAAAAAAAAAAAAGATCAAAATCTTAATAGTATTCTTAGAAGATGGGGCGATGGCTTCAAAATTATGAGGGAAAGTGAACCCGGTTAGCCCACTTGGGAGAGCGTGGTGCTGACAACACCAAGTCAAGGGTTAAGATCCCCTAACCGGTTATCTTTAAAAAAGAAAAAGAAAAAAAAAAAAGATCAAAGTCTTAATACTATTCTTAGAAGATGGGGCGATGGCTTCAAAATTATGAGGGAAAGTGAATTGCAACCCAGAAATCTCTACCCGGACCAATATTGAGAGTGTTGGCAGAATAAAAGTAGTTTCAGGTACACAAAAAATTACCTCTAATGTATCTTTTCTCATGAAGCTATTGGAGAAAGTGTTCCACCAAAATGAGGATGTAACAGAGAAGACATGGGATCCAGGAAATAGGAGATTCAACACAGGAGAGAGAGAAAGGAATTCCTAGGACAACAGCTGTGTAACAGGCTTAATGAGCTACAGGTTTAGATTGCAACATGAAGACAAAGGGCTCCAGGAAAAAGTGGACTGCCAGATAATCTGATACATTTAACAAAGTAGAAAAGTTTTCAAGAGGTTGTGAGAAGAATACAGGAAGACTTTGCTTAGTGTTATGGACTGAATTATCTGTGTCGCCCCAACTTCACATCTTGAAGCTCTAACCACCAGTGTGATGGCATTAGGAGGTAGGGCCTTTGGGAAGAGTTAGGTTTAGATGAAATCATGAGGGTACAGCCCCCATGATGGAATTAATGCTCTTATGAGAACAGGAAGAGAAGCAATGTAGTAGCATTTAAGTAGTCACAATGTTGTATACAACCACCACCTCTACCTAGTTCCAAAACATTTTCATCGCCCCAAAAAGAAACTCTGTAGGTATTCAGCTTTAGCAGTTCCCCCTCCCTCCAGACCCTGGCAACCACCAATAAACTTTTTGTCTTTATGGATTTACCTACTCTAAATATTTCATATTCCTTTTATTTCAAATTCTTCATTCCTTTTTAGGGCTGAATACTATTCCATCATATGTATATACCACAATTTGCTTATCCATTTGTTGATGGACTTTTGGGTTGTTTCCACCGTTTGGCTCTTGGCACTACTATGAACATGCGCATACATTTATTTGAGTGCCTGTTTTCAATTCTTTTGAGTATATACTTAGGAGTAGAAATGCTGGGTTATATGGTAATTCTATATTAAATTTACCCATACATCTATAGGTTTAACTAAACTCATATAAACCTGTGGTCAATTGATCTTCAACACGTCCATTCCATGGGTAAAAGAACAGTCTAGGGCCGGCCCGGTGGCGCACTGCGCTAGTGCGCCGTTTGGGAAGCGCGGCTTAGGTTTAACTAAACTCATATAAACCTGTGGTCAATTGATCTTCAACACGTCCATTCCATGGGTAAAAGAACAGTCTATTTAACAAATGGTGCTATAACTGGATATCCACACACAAGAGAATGAAGTTGGATCCCTACCACACATTCTATGAGAAAATTAACTGAAAAGGGATCAGAGATCTAAATATAAGACTTAAAACTAAAAACTCTTAGAAAAATAAAGGAGTAAATCTTTATAGCCTTTAGTTTGGCAAAGGATTCTTAGATATGACACTAAAAACGTAGGCAACAAAAGAAAAAAATAAATAAACTGGACTTCATGAAAATTAAAAACTTACGTGCTTCAAAATATACCATCAAGAAAGTGAAAAGACAACTCACAAAAAATGGGAGAAAGCATTTGCAAGTCATATATATGATAAGGAACTTGCATCTGGAAGTATATAAAAAATTCTTAAAACTCAATAATAGAATGACGAACAACCCAATTAAAAATGGGCAAAGAATATGAGTAGACATTTCTACAAAGAAGATATACATGTAACCATTAAGCACATGAAAAAATGTTTGATATTACTGTTCACTAGAGAAATGCAAATCCAAACTCAAGATACCACTTCACACCCAGTAGGATGGCTGTAATAAAAACCGAAAAAAACAAAAACCTAAAAATTACAAGTGTTGGTGAGGGCAAGGACAGGAAGAAACAGAAACCCTAGTACAAAGCTGGTAAGAAAGTAAATGGTGCAGGCACTGTGGAAAACAGTTTGGCAATTCTTAAAAAATTAAACAGCCTAGCAGTTCCACTCCTAGGTAGATACCCAAGAGAAATGAAAACATATGTCCAACAGAAACTTGTGTATACATGTTTATAGCAGCATTATTCATGACAGCCAAATGGCTGAAACGACCTGTCCATCAGGAGATGAATGGATAAATGAATTACAGTATATACATACAATGGAACATTATTTATCCATAAAAAGAAGTACTAGTACATGCTACAGCTTGTATGAAGTTCAAAAACATAATGCTAAGTGAAAGAAGCCAGATGGAAAAGGTCATATCTTATATGATTCCATTTATATAAAATACCCAGAATATGTAAATCAACTGAGAGAGAAAGCAGATTAGTTGTTGTCAGAGGGAGGTGGGAATGGGGAGTGGATACTTAAATGGTACAAGGTGTTCTGGGGTGATGAAAAAGTTTAGAAACTAGAGAGAAGTGGTGGTTGCACAGCATTGTGAAGGCATTAAATGCCACTGATTTGTACATTTTAAAATGGTTAATTACATGTTATGTGAATTTCACCTCAATTCTTTTTTAAAAAGGGAATGAAGCACTGATACATGTTGCTACAAGGATGAAACTTGAAAACATTATGCTAAGTGAAAGTCACAAAAGATCACATATTATATGATTGTGTTCACTGGAAAATCCAGAATAGGGAAAACTGTAGAGATAGAAAGTTGATCAGTGGTTGCTTAGAGCTGGAGGTAGGGATATAGAGGAACATAAGCTTGACAGCTAATGGACATGGGGTTTCTTGTTTTTTTGCAAGCGAGGTGGCTTGCCAGTATGGGATCCAAATGGGTTTCTTTTGGAGGTGATGAAAATGAATTGTATGGTATGTGAATTATATCTCAATAAAGCTGTAAAAAAAGAGAAAAGCTATTGAAGAGAAAAGCTATTAAATCTTCCCATAAAAAATCCCAGGGCCAGCCCGGTGGCGCACTGGATAGGTGCGCCGCTTGGGAAGCGCGGCGGCGCTCCCGCCCGAGGGTTCGGATCCCACATACAGACCGGTTCCCGCTCACTGGCTGAGCAAGGCGCGGAAGCAGCACCGAGGGTTGCAATCCCGTTGCCGGTCCCTGGTCCGGTATGGGGGCAACACTGAGGGTTGCGATCCGTTGCCGGACACGAAAAAAAAAAAAAAAAAAAAAAAAAAAAAAAAAAAATCCCAGCTCCAAATGGCTTCACTGGTTAGTTCACAGGAAACAAAATCAATACACAAAAATTAGTTGTATTTATGTATACTGGCAACAAGAAAGTTAAAAATACAATTAAGACAATAATTCCACTCACAGTAGCATAAAAAAAGAATAAAATACTTGGGGGGGAAAGCAAGAACTGTAAAAGGAAAAAATGAAAGATTAGACTTTATCAGAAATAAAAACTTTTGTAATACAAAAGATACTATTAAGAAAATGAAATGAAAGGCCACAGACTAGGAGAAAATATTTGCAAATCACATATCTGATAAAGAATATGCATCTAGAATTCATAAAGAATCTTACAACTCAGTAATAAAAAGACAACTCAATTTAAAAATGAGCAAAGGCTTTGAATAGACACTACAACAAATATAAATAGCTATGAAACACATGAAAAGATGTTCAACATCATTAATAACTAAGGAAATGCAAATTAAACCACCTGAGATACCATTACACATCCACTAGAAGAGCTATAATAAAAAAGACAATAATAAATATTGGTGATGATGTAGAGAAACTGGAACCTTCACACATTGCTGATGGGAATGTAAAAATGGTGCAGCCACTTTAGCAGACAACTTGGTAGTTTTGTCTTTTTTTTCTTTTTTTTTTGTGGCTGGCTGGTATGGGGATCCAAACCCTTGACCTTGGTATTGTAACACCATGCCCTAACCAGCCAAGTTAACGGGCCATCTCTGGTAGTTTCTTAAAGAGTTAAATATCAACTTACCATATTACCCAGCAATTCCACTCTTAGGAATCTACCCAAGAGAAATGAAAACATACATCTACACAAATACATGTAAGAGAATGTTCATAGTAGCAATGTTCACAATAGCCAAAAACTTGAAACAAGACAAATGTCCATCTGCTGGTGAGTAGATAAACAATATGTGGTATACATACATACAATGGAATACTATTCAGCACTAAAAAGGAACTGAACCACTGATACATGCTACAACATGGATGGATGGATCTCAAAAGCTGAGTGAAAGAATCCAGACACAAAAGACTATATATACTGTTTGATTCCATTTATTTGAAATGTCCAGAAACAGCAAACCTATAGAGACAGAAAGCAAATTAGTGTTTGGCTAGCTGGGGAGGGGGTGGGGAGAGGAAATAGGGATCAACTGCAAAGAAATATTTTGAGCGTGATAGAAATGTTCTCAAATTGGACTGTAGTGAGGACTGTATAACTCCATAAATTTACTAAAAATTAGGTACATTATAGTGGATGGATTTTACGGTATGTAAATTAAACCTTGACAATACTATTTTAAAAACTTTAAAAAACATAGCTGTTAAGCACAATGTAATACATATATAGTATATGTGTATATAAATCCCTCCTCAGGTAAAGTAATATTGTGCAATTTATTTCATTTCTATCATACTGCTCTACCATACAGTGGCCTCTACTGGCCAAAAGGAGAGATTTTGATTATATGATTACTAGTTGCTTCAAGTTTTTATATTTATAATGTATCCACTATATAAATTAGGCCACAGAAATGGCCATGGTTTCTTAAAAGAGAATTCTTAAAATACAATTCTAAATTGTGCCCGTTCGAAGAAAAGCGGATGTGATAAACAGTAAGAATGAAGAGATATAAGAAGCAAAAGCAAACTCACTTGCTCCCAATCTAAATTGTTGCTATAAAATATACTTCATAACAATAATTTATGATCTTTACAAATTAGTCATATAGCTGACTGACCTCTCCCTGTTAATCCAAGAGCACATTCACAGAAAGATATAAATGGAAAGCCCATTGTTTCAAGTTTATGCTATATAAGTAAAATGTAAATTAAAGAAGTCACTTGACTCTTTCTGGAGGGCAGAACAGCATAATAACTAAGAGAATGAGCTTTGGAGTTAGCTTGTATTCAAATCCTGGCTCCAGCATCTACTCATTCACTATCTGACCTCAGGTTTATTATTTAATTCATCTAAGTCTCAGTCTCTATTTCTATAAAACAGAGAAACATTTTATCTCAAAGGACTGTTGGGAGTATTGTTTATAAAACATAAGTACAATAAATATTATCATAAATATTAGATATAATTACTCTTATTTCAGATTATAAATTGACAATAAATTTTTATCTTAAATGGTCTTTACATTTAAAATTTATATATTTATAAGATTCAGATTTACCAAACATTTATTGAGCATCTACTGAGTGTATCCAAAGCACTGTGTTTAAGCTCTATGGAGAAATAGTTGAAACACTAAAACAATAAAAAAATGTTTTAAATGATTATAGATAATTATACATTAACTTGAAAGATGTTTATAATGTGCTAAGTGAAAAAGATTACCAAATGGTATGATCCTGTTTTTATAAGCACACAAATATTTATATATTCACACACACACAAAAATACATATATATGATGCTAAACCAAACTAACTGATGGTCATCTTTCAGTGGTGTAATAAAGAATAATTTTATTCAGATCCCAGTACCAGCCAGATGCCAAAAAAAAGAATTTTATTTTCATTTTTCTTGTGTATTATCTAATTTTTGTACAATGAACATTTAACACTACTACAAAAAAAGGAAAAGATAAACCTTGATTATTAGTATATCACATACAGACAGGCTCAGAATTTAGGCCTTCAGTGTTCTTGATTCAAATTGGAAAAACAAGATTCAGAGGGCACAGAATACACTGTAATCCTGAGATTATAAAGATTAAAACAGAACAAAGTATAAAAACATTTATAATCCACTGCATAAAAGATTCTTTAGGATGTTGTAATACTTTAGTTTAAGGTGCTGCTTCTAATTTTTTAGAATTTGTGTTAATTTACCACTAAGAGTAGAGAATGGAGAAAATTACCCTTAAATTTTCTGGCACTGTTAGAGAAGAAAATGGGCAGGCTAGGAAATAATGCAAAAGGTCCTCCAGATTAGGGATTCCACAGAAAGCAGAGTCACTGGGCCACAGCAGAAGGCTGGTCTCTGTTTCCATTACAACAGCTGGCAAGACTGAAAGCATGCCTTACTCTCAATAAGTGAATTGCTACTGAGTTCAGAGCCTCTAGGGTCTATGGTGTTATTAGAAACACATTTGTAGTCCAATTAGTAGAATAAAGCCCCCGTAGTCCCCTGGAATTATCTCTCTGTCCCCAACATTTTATTATTAGCTTCTCGGTCATGCAAAAAGGAAACTCTGACATCTATTCCGCATTTGTTGGATGAGGTAGAAGTGGCAGTAGAGGCAGTAGTAAGAACAGCCTTCCCAAGACTGCATGACCTTCAATATAAACAGCTACTAAGATGCCACTGCTATGAACAGTTACAAGTCTTGATTATTTGGAAAGGGATAAAGTAAAATGTCAGAACTAATTTTTCCTTGAACAATAGGTAAACTAATAAAATCGAAAACTCACCTGAAAACATTTTTACAAAATCATCAGTAGACATACTCATCACCACATCTGCCTGATAAGAGGGCTCTCCAGACCCAACATTCCCGCCTTTGTTTTTCAGATCAAGAAACCACGTGCCACCATCTTCTCCTACACAGAGGTAAATACATGTAAGTAAATGCCAAAGAAGTCATGTTCTTTTAAAATTTAATAACTGACGGGCCGGCCCGGTGGCGCACTGGATAGTGCACCGCTTGGGAAGCACGGCGGCGCTCCGCCCGAGGGTTCGGATCCCACATACAGACCAGTTACCGCTCACTGGCTGAGCGAGGCGCGGGAGCAACACCGAGGGTTGCAATCCCGTTGCCGGTCCCCGGTCCCCGGTCCGGTACGGGGGCAACACTGAGGGTTGCGATCCGTTGCCGGACACGGAAAAAGACAAAAGA